AGCTGGAGCATGTTCAAAGGAGGGTGACTAAAATGGGGAATGGTTTGGAAACCATGCCCTACGAGGAGAGACTTAGGGAACTGAGTATGTTTAGCCCAGAGAAGAGAAGGTTAGGAGGTGATATGACGGGCCTGTTTAACTATTTGAAGGGGCATCATATTGAGGCTGGAGCAAGCTTGTTTTCTGCTGCTCCAGAGAATAGAACCTGGAGCAACGGGTGCAAACTATAGGAAAAGAGATTCTACCTCAACATTAGGAAGAACTGGAGAGTGGTGGAGCCTCCTTTTTTGAAGGTTTTTAAACAGAAGCTGAATGGCCACCTGTTGGAGATGCTTTGATTCTATTTTCCTGCATGGCAAGGGGTTATACTTGATGGACCTTGAGGTTTCTTCCAACTCTATGATTCTATGAAAAGCCAGAAAGGAATCCGGTAGCATGTCTGAAATTTTAAGCATAAGCTTTCATGCACTCCTGTCCACTTCATCAGATGCAATCCTGTGTAGGCTATGAAAGTTTAATTGCAGACATTTCTTTTTTGCAGTTAGTCTCAAAGGTGCTAGATTTTGAGAAAACAAACTAACATGCTTTTTGAATACAAAATTACTAATGTTTATATCCTGCCACTCTTCCAATGAGTTAAAGATGGCATCCATGATTTCTCCACTCCCCTCTCTTTATCCTTACAACAACTCTGGAGTGACCGGTCCAAGCCCACTGAGTGAATTCAATAAGGGGCTTTCCAAACCCCAATTTAGTACTATAATTATTGTACTATGCTAGATCTCATGTGAATGGGCAATGGCAATGCATCTACATGTTTGATTCAGCTTTAACTGCCCTGGCTCAATGCTAGGGAAGTCTGGGCACTGTAGGTTTGTGAGATATGTTGCCTTCTCTATCAGAGAGCTCTGGCACCACAACAAACTACAAACCCCAGAATTCCATAGGAAGGAGCCATGCCAGTTAAAGCAGTATCACATTTAATTAGTTCTGCAGTGAGTGTGTGCAGTGGGGTTACTAAGAGCATCTTGCACAAATCAACCCACACCACTACAATCCTGGAAATG